AGCTGACAGATGTTATGCTCACTAGTAGATTAGTATGTACTCCATGGATTTAACTCACATAGCTGACACATGTTATGCTCACTACTAGATTAGTATGTACTCCATGGATTAAACTTACATAGCTGACACATATCATGCTCACTAGTAGATTAGTATGTACTCCATGGATTTAACTCACATAGCTGACACATGTTATGTTCACTAGTAGATTAGTATGTACTCTATGGATTTAACTCACATAGCTGACACATATCATGCTCACTAGTAGATTAGTATGTACTCCATGGATTCAACTCGCATAGCTGACACATGTTATGTTCACTAGTAGATTATTATGTACCCCATGGATTTAACTCACATAGCTGACACATGTTATGCTCACTAGTAGATTAGTATGTACTCTATGGATTTAACTCGCATAGCTGACAGATGTTATGCTCACTAGTAGATTAGTATGTACTCCATGGATTAAACTCACATAGCTGACACATGTTATGCTCACTAGTAGATTAGTATGTACTCCATGGATTCAACTCACATAGCTGACACATGTTATGTTCACTAGTAGATTAGTATGTACTCCATGGATTCAACTCGCATAGCTGACAAATGTTATGCTCACTAGTAGATTAGTATGTACTCCATAGATTTAACTCACATAGCTGACAAATGTTATGCTCACTAGTAGATTAGTATGTACTGCATGGATTTAACTCACATAGCTGACACATGTTATGTTCACTAGTAGATTAGTATGTACTCCATGGATTTAACTCACATAGCTGACGGCACGTTATGTTCACTAGTAGATTAGTATGTACTCTATGGATTTAACTCACATAGCTGACACATGTTATGCTCACTAGTAGATTAGTATGTACTCCATGGATTTAACTCACATAGCTGACACATGTTATGTTCACTAGTAGATTAGTATGTACTCTATGGATTTAACTCACATAGCTGACACATGTTATGTTCACTAGTAGATTAGTATGTACTCCATGGATTTAACTCACATAGCTAACACATGTTATGTTCACTAGTAGATTAGTATGTACTCCATGGATTTAACTCACATAGCTGACACATGTTATGTTCACTAGTAGATTAGTATGTACTCCATGGATTTAACTCACATAGCTAACACATGTTATGTTCACTAGTAGATTAGTATGTACTCCATGGATTTAACTCACATAGCTGACACATGTTATGTTCACTAGTAGATTAGTATGTACTCCATGGATTTAACTCACATAGCTAACACATGTTATGTTCACTAGTAGATTAGTATGTACTCCATGGATTTAACTCACATAGCTGACATATGTTATGTTCACTAGTAGATTAGTATGTACTCTATGGATTTAACTCACATAGCTAACACATGTTATGTTCACTAGTAGATTAGTATGTACTCCATGGATTTAACTCACATAGCTGACATATGTTATGTTCACTAGTAGATTAGTATGTACTCCATGGATTTAACTCACATAGCTGACACATGTTATGTTCACTAGTAGATTAGTATGTACTCTATGGATTTAACTCACATAGCTGACACATGTTATGTTCACTAGTAGATTAGTATGTACTCCATGGATTTAACTCACATAGCTGACAGATGTTATGCTCACTAGTAGATTAGTATGTACTCCATGGATTCAACTCGCATAGCTGACAAATGTTATGCTCACTAGTAGATTAGTATGTACTCCATGGATTTAACTCACATAGCTGACACATGTTATGTTCACTAGTAGATTAGTATGTACTCTATGGATTTAACTCACATAGCTGACACATGTTATGCTCACGAGTAGATTAGTATGTACTCCATGGATTTAACTCACATAGCTGACACATGTTATGCTCACTAGTAGATTAGTATGTACTCCATGGATTTAACTCACATAGCTGACACATGTTATGTTCACTAGTAGATTAGTATGTACTCTATGGATTTAACTCACATAGCTGACACATGTTATGCTCACTAGTAGATTAGTATGTACTCTATGGATTTAACTCACATAACTGACACATGTTATGTTCACTAGTAGATTAGTATGTACTCCATGGATTTAACTCACATAGCTGACACATGTTATGCTCACTAGTAGATTAGTATGTACTCCATGGATTTAACTCACATAGCTGACACATGTTATGCTCACTAGTAGATTAGTATGTACTCCATGGATTTAACTCACATAGCTGACATATGTTATGCTCACTAGTAGATTAGTATGTACTCCATGGATTTAACTCACATAGCTGACAGATGTTATGCTCACTAGTAGATTAGTATGTACTCCATGGATTTAACTCACATAGCTGACACATGTTATGTTCACTAGTAGATTAGTAGGTACTCCATGGATTTAACTCACATAGCTGACAGATGTTATGCTCACTAGTAGATTAGTATGTACTCCATGGATTTAACTCACATAGCTGACAGATGTTATGCTCACTAGTAGATTAGTATGTACTCCATGGATTTAACTCACATAGCTGACACATGTTATGCTCACTACTAGATTAGTATGTACTCCATGAATTAAACTTACATAGCTGACACATATCATGCTCACTAGTAGATTAGTATGTACTCCATGGATTTAACTCACATAGCTGACACATGTTATGTTCACTAGTAGATTAGTATGTACTCTATGGATTTAACTCACATAGCTGACACATGTTATGCTCACTAGTAGATTAGTATGTACTCTATGGATTTAACTCACATAGCTGACACATGTTATGTTCACTAGTAGATTAGTATGTACTCTATGGATTTAACTCACATAGCTGACACATGTTATGTTCACTAGTAGATTAGTATGTACTCTATGGATTTAACTCACATAGCTGACACATGTTATGCTCACTAGTAGATTAGTATGTACTCCATAGATTTAACTCACATAGCTGATACATGTTATG